TTCGTTTTGCTACATTTAGCTTTTAGCTTCTGATTTGCTACATTTAGCTTTTAGCTTCTGTTTTGTTACATTAAGCTTTTAGCTTGTTTTGCTATTTTTAGCTTTTAGCTTCTGTTTTGCTACATTTAGCTTTTAGCTTCTGTTTTGATACATTTAGCTTTTAGCTTCTGCTTTGCTACTTTTAGCTCTTAGCATCTGTTTAGCTACATTTAGCTTTATCTTCTGTTTTGTTACATTTAGCTTTTAGCTTCTGTTTTGCTACATCAACTTTAGCTTTTGTTTTGCTACATTTAGCTTTTAGCTTTGTTTTGGTACATTTAGATTTTAGCTTCTGTTTTGTTACATTAAACTTTTAGCTTCTGTTTTGCTACATTTAGCTTTTAGCTTCTGTTTTGTTGCATTTAGCTTTTAGCTTCTGCTTTGCTGCATTTAGCTTTATCTTCTGTTTTGTTACATTTAGCTTTTAGCTTCTGATTTGCTACATTTAGATTTTATCTTCAGTTTTGGTACATTAGATTTTAGCTTCTCTTTTGCTACATTTAGCTTTTAGCATCTGTTTAGCTACATTTAGCTTTTGTCTTCTGTTTTGCTACATATAGCATTTAGCTTCTGTTTTGTTACATTTAGCTTTTAGCTATCCATTATTTTTACTTGCTTCTTCCTTTCCGGGCTGCATGGCTCTGCGTGACTCCATGTCCAGCAGTCGCTGTGCGAGAGGCGGGGGACACCGCCGTCTACACTGGAGACACGGATCACAAGTCCATCACAGGGACACTTGTGGATACCTTTAGCTACAGTTTAGCTTCTTTTAGCTTTTAGTTATGGTTTTATTGCTTTTTGCCTTTAGCTACTTTTTTTGCTGCTATTTTGTTACCTTTAGTTATGGTTTAGCTGATTTTATCTTTGACAAATTTTAGACATGCAGTCAGCAAACATGGCTGCGTTTTTGCTGAAAGCTCAATTTTCCCCCTCAAGTTATATTTTCAAACCGTCCCTGACCAGCTCCAACGTTAAAACCACTGGCGGATGAAGCGTAGCACTGATAATTGCTTTAAAGAGCTATTTTAAGATCTTTTTCATAGATGCCACTTTGAAACAAACACTCATTGTTCAAGAGCAGAGCACTCGTCCTCCCATCTGACTCCAGCAGCCTCGAGACGTCGGCTGATCGAGCCACAAACAGCTCGGCGAGTTTTCACATCAGCTCAGAGTTACGGTGTCGAAACGGCTTATGTTTACATTAGCTGAGGTTATTGCTCCATTTCAGTTGATTCGTCGTTTCTTTTTAAAACGTATCGCCAAATAAAATGCTTCGAAAGCAACCGCCGGGAAAATCCGTCCAATCAAACGTTAAAGACGTTCTGTTCGAGTCAGTGATTGTGAAAACAGAAGATAATGACTTTTTATTCAAAGCTTTTGGGCATTACCTTCATAAAACCTCAAATAAAAGCTACGGCCGTTGTAAAAACTGCTCTTACATTTATTATTGTCGGTAGAAATCTTTGTTGCGGTAATAATTTATACATAAATTGGATTATGTCAATAAAATACTGTATTTCGTTCAGAGGTATAAATGGCATCAAAGGGATGAACTGCAGTCAGTCGCTAATTATTTTAGCTATAAAAAGCTGATGTCACAATAAGTTTTATAATTGGGAAACCCATCCTGCTGCAGTAATGGCCTCTGTGTGTCACTGCGTCCATTAAGTAAAAGTTCAACAACTTGTCAGTCTCGTTTGAGGTCTACGTCAGACCTCCAGGGCAAGAGAAATCAGAAAACCCTTTGATTTGCAGTTTTATTTTGATACGACATCAGTGCTCCTCTGGATAACGGTTGTTTCTAACGGTTTGTAATATTTAAAAATCTCTTTAATTGCTGCATTATTTCATTACCTTTCGCTCCGTGCGCACCGTTGAGGGCTTATAGATGAGATCCGCTTCAATCAAAACAGATGTGCATCTGAAGACGGCCCTATTAAACAGCTGGTACGATCATTGGTCGAGTTAAGTGCCACTTGTCCCGCTCCTTGTTTATGTTAGATATAAAAGAGTTGGTACTCGTAGCTTCTAATGATTCTTTTCATAAGATGCCTTTAGGGGGGGCGGAGGGGGGGGGGTGGTGTTTGACAGAAGAGCTGTTTTTATAATTATAAGCTTCATTTTCTGTCATTCCTGCGGTGCATTGAGTAATCACCGCTCGCTCTGCGTTGAAGTTCAGTGTGCAACAACAAACGTCACCGGCCCTGGTTCCTGGAACAAGTCGCTGCTGGGAAAACGCTCCTGAGCCGAACGGAGCGCGAGCTCGTTCATAACAAGAGAGTGGGCTTAGCTGCAGTTTATACTGATGGATGCCACTTTATTCTAGGAGTTGGTTTAAAATGGATTACGCAAGCAATAATTGTTTAGCTGTTTTTTTTTATTTTTGTATCCATTGGCTGCTGTATTTCGTGACACCAGCTGTAATTGTGTGAATGTTTATTGAAGCTTTCACACTATTGTGATCCATTTTTCTTCCGTATGTTTTTCAGCATTTTACTCGTTCCACAGTTTTTGTGCTATTTCAACAAATCACAAATCAAAACATTCAGCTCTTTCAGGACAATCCTGCTAAGACTTTTGGTGTTGGTGCAGCTTTAGCTTTTTGAAATATTTAGTCTTTTCTCATAGAAAATGAATTTAGCTAATTTTACCTTCTTCATGTCTTTAGCTCAGTTTTCAACCGTTTACTCTTTCTTTCACTTTTTCAGCTACCTTCACTTTTTTCAGCTGTTTTGTGCTCGTTTCAGATTCTTTCTGCTAACTACAACATTTTTGAGCTTCTAACTTTTTTCTGGCTAATTTCAGCTTGTTATGCTCCTTTCAGCTTATTTATGCAAGTTTCAGCTTTTTCTGCTGTTTCAGCTACTGTTTATGTTTTTGTGCTTATTTTAGCTGTTTCAGCTAATTCCACATTGTTTGCACTATTTTCAAATTTTTTCAGCTAATTCAGCAAAAATCTGCTCTCTCCACTTCCTTTTAGTAATTTAAGCTCCTTTCTGCTGTTTTTTTGTTGTTGTTGCTAATTTTAGATTTTTTCAGATAATTTCCACTTTTTTGCCCCCAATTCTGCTACTTTCAGCCTAACTGGGCAAACATGCTTTTTCTGCTTTCTTCTGCAAATTTAAGCTTGTTCTACATTTTCAGCTAACCTTTTAGCATTTTTTTAAACTAATTTCAGTTGTTTTTTTTATAAATTCTAATTTTTCATGTTAATTTCTGCTACTTTCAGCCTAATTAACTTCTTTATACTAATTTCACCTTGTTATGCTCCATTTAGCTTTTTTCTGCTAGTTTAAGCTTTTTCTGCTCTTTCAGCTACTATTTAGCTTTTTTATGTTAATTTTAGCTTTTTCAGCTAATTCCACATTTATTTATTTTTAGCTCATTTCAGTTCTTTCTGCTTCTTTCTGGCAGTTTAAGCTTCTTTCTGCCTTTTCAGCTACTTTTCAGCTATTTTCAGTCTTTTTTTTTTAGCTAATTTCCTCATTTTTGTGCTAATTTCTGCTTATTTAAACATACTTCAGCCAATATGTGTTCTTTCTGCATTCTTCTGCTAATTTAGGCTTTTCCTTCCATTTCATCTACATTTTAGAATGATTTTTTTTTTAGCTAATTTCAGCAGTTTTTATCAAGTTCTTCAGCAATAAGCATTCACACTGCATTTTCACAGGAAATACAGCTTCTCTAGTTGCTGTAGTGTATCCATGGCAACTCGTGTCTGGTAAAATCTCAGATAAAGCATGCGTGAGCGACTATCTTCTCAGTGTGAAGTGAAGTGTTGATAAATTAAATGTGCAGCAGTGCATGCTTGTTTACAAGCCTGACTAAACGTTAACGCCCTTTGAGAGACCACGTCTACGATTATAACGATGACGTCATTCAAAATTGACTAATTTATTCAGTAAATTTTAACGTAGGACTGTTCCACGTGTCGTGTTTTTATCTCTGATCGGTGCTTCCCTGGATGTTTGTTTCTCTTCTGCATTGACACGGATCGTGCGCAGCCTGCATGGATGACTGTTAATGATGAACGGATAGAAAGTGATTCGGTGTTTTTATATTTTGCAGATGATTACGCGGCGTTTGTGCTTGGTGCCGTTGGTTCGATCTCAGCACTGGTCACGATGGGAGTCCTGATTGAGCTTCACAACAGGAAATTAAACAGGTGGGTCACAAAGTTGACAGGATCTTTGTGTTATTTGCGTTTTGGTGTTTAGATTTTCAGATTCTTGAGTCTAACCACCCCAGGTGTTTGTCATTAAGTTAGTCTCCTATATATTCAGCGTCTGTGTTTTTCCTTTGTCCGTGGATTGTCCTCATAGAGGCTGTCCTGTCCTGTCCTCCTGCGTGTCATCTCACTCCTGGTTGTTACGGTATATGGAAGTTCTGCTGCCGTGTCAGCCGCTTTTTATTTAATATATTTTATCTTTATATCCTTCGAGTCCCCTGCGTCAATCTGCGTCTTGGATTCAAATACCAAAGAAACATGATAAAAATATTCTCAGAAGTTTGTCTCTTTTTTAGTTTAGCTCAAGGACTCAATTCATGCAAATATAAAAGAAGAAAACGACAACGGTTGATATTTGCACTGCACTAAACTGTTGCTTCTTGTTTGTCTTCTTATGCTCCTTTTTAGATTTTAGGTAAAAGATTTTAGCTACCGTTTGGCTCCCTTTAGCATTTTGTTACAGTTTTGCTAACTTTAGCTACTCTTTTGTTCATTTAAATCTATAGCAAATAAAAAAATCTACTTTTTGCTATAATTTTTTTTACAATTAGCATCTGTTTTGCTAATTATAGCTACTGTATTGCTGCTTTCAGTTATTGTTCTGCTGCTCTTAGTCTCAGTCTGACTATTGTTTTACTACTTCTAGCCACCATTCTTATGCTTTTAGCTTTTAGCTACCTATTTTTGCTACTTTGTTATTTGTACCTACCATTCTGCTCCCTTTAGCTCTTACCTACACTTTAGCTGTTTTGATCTACTGTTGTGCTGATTTTAGCTTTAGCTTCTCTTTTGCGTCCTTTCATTATAGTTTTTTTTACTTTTAGCTGTTAGCTTTTATTCTGCTCCTTTTAACTACATTTTTGCCACTTTTAGATTGCGCTTTGCTGATAATAGCATGTTTTTTTGCTAATTTTATCTCCTGTTCTGCTTCTTTTTTAGCTTATGTTTTGCTGTTTTGGGTTTTTGGCTTATTCTGTTCATTTTAACCTCCGTCCTGCTTGTTTGAACTTTATTTACTTAGTTTTAGCTTGTTCAGCAAAGTAAACGCTCATAGCACTCACATGTATGCGGTGTCTCTTGTTTTACAATTTTTAGGACGTGAACTCTGTTTTGATCCCTTAAAACAACAACAACAACAAAAAAAAAACATGGTAATAATAAAAATACGTGCTAAAAATGTTGTTCTTGGTTTCCAACAGGCACATGTGACAAACAAATGCAACATCTTATGGAAGGGAATAATTTAAAGCACCGAAATAGTACCTTTTGCTTATTTCTGCCTCTTTGTTCCTCTCAGTTTGAACAACTGATGTGCAGGTCTCCACAGATCATATGCAAGCTTTAAATTAAGTCATATATGAAGGCGTGCTTTTGTTCTTTTGGCCTTCAGCCAAAACCCTCCATATATCTTTCATTCTGTCTTATACGCTCAAAGTCACGGCTACTCGTTAACTCTTAAAATCTGCTACATAGCACGACGTCTTCCTCCCCTCCCATTTCCTTCCAAGTCACCGTCTTGCTTTGCAAGCAGAGACACACCAAGACAATGAGTCCCACCTGTTCGTTTGATTTCCAGCATCCCCCGGCCTCCTGATTGTTGCTCGTAAATTTTCTTTCTGATCTGATCAAACCCGATCCCCCGTGGAATCACTCATGACAGCAGTCCAGGGAGACAACATGCTAATGGCTGCGCTAGCTTGCTCCTGGGCAAACATAAACAAATGAAAGGCCTGTTTTATGGGCTCGCAGACTTTCTTTGGGCTTTCCCCCCCTCCCTAACTCTGGCTGATGAATGTAAGAAGCTGAGGCTCCTCACGCCACCAGCAGCTCTCGGATCAGGCGTTCGATTGAAACGGTTGTGTTTTGAGGTCATTGGAGCAGAAAGTGAGCGCACCTGTCCCCTCTTGACGCCTTGATCACAGGAGGCCAGGTGTAAAATGAGACGTGTCTAAAGGTCTTCAGGTGAGGGGGAGGTGATCTGAAACGTGCAACGTGCTGGTGCACATTCTGAGAGTCACAACCGAGACAGATAACACACTTACAGTAGTCAAAACGAGCTCAGGGACATCTGATATGTTCTTTGAGTGAGCGGTAACACTGTCATGCATGAACGCGCGCACACACACACAGACACACGTTTGTCTTTCTATTTTTATGGGGACTTTGCATTGACTACCATTCATTTTTCATTAATTTCTATAGCCTAACCTTGACCATTACCCTAAACCCAACCATTACCAGTAGATACCTAACCCCTAACCCACCAATGGCACTTCTTCCCAGGCGTTGGACCCCATAAGGAACAGTTTGTTCTCACAGTGTATTATGTGTTGGAGAAATGGGCCTTACAAGGTAACAAATACAAAGACACACACACACACGCCCTGACAAGTGCAGGTGGACTGAGGCTTCTGTAACATCAGAAGCAGAGAAGGATGAGAGAATCAGGGGGTCTTACAGCCTTTCAGGTCTTGTCTGGGTTGCATGTCTGGAGGAAAAGTGCAGTAGTGTGTTTATGTGTGTGTGCGCGTGTGTGTGTTACAAGCTGATGGTGAAGGCCTCCTGTGCACACACTTCTATGTCTTAGACTTGCAGGGGTACTTTCCACGTCTAGGGTTACCCAGCAGGTTTTAACAGGTCGACTGGCAGCTCACCACAAGAGTCAGAAAAGTAATTTCATCATAAAGTGAGACAGTTTGTGTGTGTGTGTTTGGGAGGGGGGGTCCACATGAAAAAGTAGTTCAAGGTGGGGGTTTGTCTGAAAGTGGACAACGGTTCGAAATATTTAGAACGGTTTGTCTCATTTTTACGCTTCCACTGAAGCGTCTGCACAGAAGGAGCTGCTTCTCGACCTTTCGTCATATATTTGATGAATTGTTGGTGATCTCTAAGTGACTAAACACTTTCTTGAAATCTAAATGTAGCAGGTTGCAAAGCAGAGGGAAAAGCCTGTGTAAATGTGCACAGACAGCCAGTACTCCCACAGCCCGTCAGTGGGAATTAAACATGATGGGTTCATGTTTTTGTGACCTTAAAATGAAACATGCATGTTAACGTTTGGATGCCTGATAACTATAAATGTATAATAATGCTTGTTTGTGTAATGATTTACAAGTGAGACCTGTTTGGACAGACAAAAAGTACTAAAAGTGACACATGTACAGGATTTGGAGGCAAAAAAAAAAAAAATATCTATCAAACTCTCACTCCTTGGCCGAGAAAAGAGAGCCTGAGATTGAAAAAAACACCCCACACATAAAGATTCAGACATTCTGCAGGGGAGGGAAGACGACAAGAGCGGTGAGCGTGTCCAAGGACACTCCAGAGGCACTGTAGGAGTCCTGATAAGAATGGTATAATAGTCAGTTCCCTCTGGTGAGATCTGTAAACACTCTCGAGGGGTGCCGAGGTCGACCTAGGACGACTCCAGAGAGGATCCAAGAGTCCTGAAATGATGACACAATGTTTATTCAGCCGGGTCCCTCCGATAAGCCTGCAGATTCCTCAGTGGGAGAGGAGGGGGCAGAGCATCAAATTTGCAGGGCCTCCAGGTGAATTGAGATAAGGTGACCTGTTAAGGCCAGCCAGAGAGCCGAATTCTTATTAACATTTGTTTTGGGAACAGGCAGAACTTTACTGATTCATGTCTGCCTCGAGTCTTTGCTGGTCCTCACGAATCCCAAACGACTAAAATTAAGCCGACACACCGCTGGTCCGTGTCGGATGTGATCCATCATGCCAGCGAATCCTAGGGGCCGCAAGTGGCCTGCGATTCTCAGATGTATGTTTGATATTTAGCATTATGTCCATATTTGTATAACTGATCAGGCAAACTACAGAAGCTGGTGTATAGGAGGGCTGTGACAGTTCTACGTCAGGGAAACTAAACAGCCACTGGCCAAAAGGATGGCCCAGCGCAGAAGAGCAACATCATCAGGCCAGGACTCTGCGGTCTACACTCATCTGCAGGCTAGCGGTCACTCTTTCAGGGATGATTCACATCCTGGACAGAGGGGAACGATGGTTTGAGAGAGGAGTAAAGGAGGCCATCTTTGTGAAGAGAAACCGTCCATCATTAAACAGGGGTGGAGGCCTCCGTGTTCAACTGTCCCCCTCTTACTGTGATTGCTAGTATCACTCAGCACTCTGTGAATAACAAGCGGCCATGAGGGCACTAACGAAGGGTCATTAGGCTGATGGTCCTCCTTGATCATGTGAACAGCTAGTTCTGGAGGTCACCAGCAAACTAGTTGATCCACTACGAGAAGGTGTTGCTTATAAGACTGAGTTTATTGCAGCTCCTTAGACTGAAGAAGTCTTTTGGATAAAAGACGAAAAGTTTCAAGAATAATCCGTCCCGAGGACCTGACTCAACCTTGTTAAAGCTTTTTGGTAAATAATTTAAACTTTGAGTACCTTTTTAAACAAGTGTTCTTTTCCTCACGTGAGGCAGCAGGAAGTTCAGTTTGACTTTTCCTGAACGTGATCGACTTCGAGATGATGACTTTTTCTTTTTAGGATGATGATTTACAAGTTTTAAGTTGCCTCATCTACTTTTATTTTTCAGATTGAGAAAAACAGAGCCGCACGAGATGCTGACTCAAGCACGGGCTCGCTAAATCCTCAGACGTCTTGGATTATGAAGTATGACATCCGTCAACAAATATGTTTTGAGCTGAACATTTTGATATTTGAAGTTACGTTGTTCATTTGGAGGAATTTCTCGCTTTGACGCGTTATCGGAGAAACACTGGGCATTTAGTTGTCTGCATTTTGTTTGGCCTCGTGTCAAGATGTCTGGAGAAACTCCAGATTGTGGCAAATGGTGCATGAGGTGACGACTAAAGGAACTGAAGTGAAGAAGAAAACATTGTTTATATATTTAATCACAGATTTCAATCATCCAATCTTGACTAGAAAGAAAACTGTACGAGTACAACATGCAGATATCATCATTTCAGTCAACGCTTTCACTTCCAAGCAGGACCAGATGTGTTCGTGTCAAATGTGAAGTGAACCCGATCGTTTCTTGGTGGAAACATTTTGAACTCACAAGCAGCGTTTGTGTGCGTCCGTCGGGGTTTCACTGCGCCAGAAGAACGACCCTCCAGTGTTACAAAGGTCAAATTTTGTCCCGTTTCAACACTTTGCTTCCAAATCTTTGCACTGTTTCATGTTTGTATAAAAATATTGACTGAATGAAAGTTTTTATAGATGTTTAACACTTTTCAGTGTAATAAAGTCTTATTTTAATGTGACTGTGCTGCTGTTTATTTCTGTAACCCCACAGGTTTAGCATCAGACAGACCATCCTCTCACATTACCCTCCTGTCTTCTGCTTTAATCTTGACTCACTTTTCCATCTCCAAGACGAAGCCCTTCGAGGAGTTGGAGCAACGAGAGTGACAGGTTCCCTCGTGGCTGATCTCTGGGTGTGATAGGTGGGGGTCCAGCTTGGGAAAAGGAGCGGTTCTAGTAGAAAACTAATTGGAAGAACCTGGCCTGCTGCACATGGAGGGCTTTGAAGTTTTAGAAACATGTGAACTCTGTTTCCCAACTTGCTGTTGTGCAATGCTATACTAGCTCCTGCATGCACCAGATATTCTGCAGGGTCGTAAATCAACAACCTCTTTTTATTTATTTTTTTACTCCAAAAAGTCTTATCATATTTCAAAATGTACAAATGCTCGACCTTCATTGTTACCAGGTAATCAAACAGACACCCTCACAATATGGGGCGGCTGTGGATGAGTGATTAGCGCAGTTGCCCTCCAATGGGAGAGTTGGGGGTTCGATTCCGCCAGCAGTCACATGTTGAAATGTCCCTGGACAAAACACTGAACCCCTCATTGCCTCTGATGTGTGTCCCATCGGTGTAAGCACTGATTAGTCTTTGTATAGATCGAGCAGAGTGCTGTATGAATGGGTCAATGAGGACACAGATTGTAGTGTAAAGCACCTCGAGTGTCTTGATAAGATAGAAAGCTGCTATATAAATACAGTAGTCCCTCGCTACTTCGCGGTTCATTTTTCGCAGACTCGCGATCGGTTTTTCAAACTAAGACTGGACATGACACACAATGGGCTGATTGATGGATGAGCCGCACAATCGGCATGGATTTTTTAAAAATTTAAAACAAATTATTTTAAACGATTTAGCACCTGTGTGCAGCCCACAGCTAGCTGGGGAGAAGCTCCCTCCTGCAGCTGATCAGCTGATCTCCGCTCTGCAGCAGAGAAGTGGGCGTGGCCGAAGCGCTGGCAGAGAGCTGAGATCATGACATGCTGTGCTCTTAGAGCGTTTAGAGTTTAGAAACATTGTTTAGAGTGTGGGAAGGGTTTAAAACGTCTCTCTCTATATATATATATACACTAAAATAAAGTACTACTTACTACTTGTACTACTATTTCTACTTAGCGGATTTTCACTTATCGCGGGGCTTCAGGGTACGGATCCCCCGTGATAAACGAGAGACTACTGTACAGTCCATTTACAATAGACACAGAAACTCTTCCTGTGTGTCAATATCTGACTCACTTGCCATCTAATCTCCAAACTGAGTGCTAATTTCCCTGCTTTCATCTATCAGTCAAGTTCTTACCAGAGTGGCCGTGGAGCAGGCTGCTGTCTGTTTGCAGAGCCAGATGCTGATTAATAGCGTTTGGATGAAAGTATTTTTTTTAAATATCTCTGCAGAGGCCTGTTCTAACGTCCAACGTTTACGCTTGCTTAACATCTCAGCAACCCGGCGTAATTAGTTCAATCATATTCAAACACAAGTAAATGCAAATGTGCTCTGTGGAAGCCTGTTGCTTTCACGTGGGACTTTTCCCATATCTTAGATCTGCCTTACATCCCTGGATTAGGAAGAAAGACGTCTAAAGTGTCTTTTGGCCAAGGTTTTTGTTTTGGATGTGCTTTTATGTTTCATGTCAGCTTTGCAGGTGTGCTTTGTCCCTTACCTCCTGATACCTCGCGCTTAAGCAGCATCTTCTGATGTTAATTCTTAATTTGAAGGCGTAGGTTGGACCAGATTGGTTTTGGGATTAGGATGTTTGCAGAAACTGGAGTTCTGTCGTTGATCATAAAACATTTAATACTGGAGAAAAGAGTCTAGCAAAGTACGCTAATCCTAATGTAGTTAAAACAAAAGTATTATCCTAATGCTGCTGTTTAATTTTTTACATTTTACAACTCTAACCCAAATAATAAATTTTTTTTAATAAAACAGATTAAAATAATCTTAAACAACTTTTTAATAACTTGTGATGTTACATTATTAAACAGTCCAAAGTCGTACATAAACGGCACAGATAAACGGATCAGCCATAACATTATGACCAGACAGGGGATCGTCTGGTCGTTTTTGTGCTGATGTTCTGGTAAATAGGTGTTTACACTTGATCAGCTTTGACAATCAAAGAGCATAAAGTGAAGGGCAAATGTCTTCATTAAGTTTAGGCTACCTACATTATAGCCCATTGTCTTCAGAGTTCAGCTCATAAGACACTTTTTGACAGAACATCAAAGTTCATCCTCAGGTACAAAATCCAATAATGGTCAGTCAGGTCATATGGACAGTTTCTTTTTTGTGGAAAGACGTTTCCACCCTCTATCCGGAGGGCTTCATCAGTCTGAGGAGTCCCATGCAGCCCTACGGATAGAGGGCGAAACGTCTTTCCACAAAAAATAAACTGTCCAGATGACCTGACTGACCATTATTGGGTATTTGACAGAACATATTTTAAAAAATGACCGGACTATCCCTTTAATATTGACAATGCTCCACTTTTGCTGACGCCCCTGACCCTGTGAGGTTTGGACTCCCAACAGGCTCCTGCTGGTCTGCTGTTGGATCTGTCCTCCAAGTGGTGAGGCGGTGACCTTTATGTTCCCGACCCGTCTGTCCACCGTGTCCCACAGATGGTGGATTGGACCAAAATCTGGAAAATGTTGAGACAAAGTCCAAACTTTGAGCTTGTTGATGTTGCTCAAACCATTTTTTAACAACTTGAAACAGGGAACTGTTGTCAGAAACATTTTTCACAAACAGATGAACAGGTGGTACGAGTTAAAATAATAAAAAGATGGAACCAATAAGATCTGTGTCTTTGATTTATTTTGGTAGATTTCCATGTTATTTTGTTTTGAGTGTCCTCTGTGCCATCACTTCACTCTTCCTCTGTCAGTTTCTGCTTCTCGGCTCCTGCCCCGCCCACTCGCACCTGTTCCTCGTTGTCATTTTGCCCATTTGTCTCCACTCCCCTCATTAGCTCCTGTCCATAAAGTCCATTGGCTTTAACTTCACCTTCAGTCTGGGTTTGTGTTGAGCTTTACATCATGTCAGTTCTCCTTTGTGTCGCCTCGTGATTATTTTCTCTAAGTTGTTGCTGCTTTATTTGTTTTCCTTGTTAAAGTTTCTCTTCAACTCCTCGTGTTTGTCTGCGTCCCTGGGTCCATTCTCCTCAAACCATGACCACTTCCCACCAAAATGGAGCTCAACGCCTCAAAACTCTCCTTCCTGGCTTATTTTTATAAAGTGCATCTTTTTTTATTTTATTTCATCTTTATTTAGACCGGCAGTCTCATTGAGTTACGAGGACTCATTTTCAAGAGAAACCTGTTTTAAACAAATGTATAATGAACGACAATTTTCAGCAATAAAACAATTAAAGATTAATGTAAGAAAAACTATAAAATCTAAGTTTCATATAAAACAAGGTAAAATACTCAAAACCAACATAATTGCTTGGATTTTTCCAATGACCTTATCCATCCATCCATTATCTTTTACCTGCTTCTTCCTTTTAGGCTTGTGGGGGTCACTGGTGCCCATATCCAGCAGTCACTGTGGGAAAGGTGGGGACCATCTTGGAAAGGTCTCCAGTCCATCACAGGGACACATGGAGACAAACGAGACAACCATTCACTCTCTCACCTAGGGACAATTTAGTTACCAATCAGCCCAACATGCATGTTTTTAATCTGTGGGAAGAAACCGGAGTACCCAGTGAAAACCCACACATGCACGGAGAGAACATGCAAACTCCACCCAGAATGGCCTACTGGCCAGAATTCAGTCCAGTGACCTTCTCGTTGAGAGACAACAGCTTTACCAGCTGCGCCACTGTTCCGCCCTAATTGTTGCAAGGTGTTCCAGAAACAAAAGGCTTTTTTGCCGAGTTCAGTCCACACTGACGGGACGCTGTAGGTTACGAAGGCCTGAGAGCGCACGCTGTAACTGCACTGACAACGTGACATATGGGAGGAGATATAAGATGGCAGCAGACCACGGAGTGATTTATAGATGAAGATGTACCAGTGTGAGAGTGTATAGATATTGATGACCAACTGACCAATGAGTTCAGGGTTCAGTGACGGGTACGGTAGTTACAACCAGTTATGAACCACTTGTTACCATGTCTTTCCCAAGTAAGCCATGCAGACCAACCTGACCACCTGCAAAAAGAAAAATAAATGGAAAATATGGTTCTTCCGTCTTCCTCTGTTGCTCTGTAGTCCAGTTTTCACTTGCATCCCCATGTACCAGTAGTTTTTTTTTGGTTTGTAGACACAAGCTGGCGTTAATACTGCCACTGTTAGACTGTAGAGATGGCAAGGTAACAAATGTTTTAACTAAAAGCTTCAGGAGCACTAATATATTTATGGTGAGGACTAATCGAGGGAATGGGGAACACCTGGGAAAGGAACCAGGCACGGGTGGAACTAAC